TTATATTTATTCAGGCCCTAATTTGATCAGTTTTCCCTCTCTTTTAATTTCCCTCATGAGTTGCTAGACTTTCTCAGGTAGTACAGACGTGACTACGTGCATTGTTCTGGTTACATGTCAGTTCAGTCATTGTGCTGGTCTCTTATTTGTAAGCTAGTGACTTAGGAAGTTAGTCAGTTCCTGGTCTGGATAGAGCTTCACAGCGCTTTAGAGCTGTGCAGGGATTGGCAAACCCAGGTCCCCTTCAAGTGTAGAGGGGTCATGAGAGCGAAAAGCATCAACATCAGCATTTCCACTTTCCTTTTTTTTCTTTATCATATGTCCATGTAAAATATCATTTGAGGAAAGTATGCTGAAACATACATATATGTATGTATGAGTATATAGGTGCCTATACATGTACATTGACATGTGCATGCACACACACACACACAGACGCAACACACAAGAAAACTTCTGATTTAATTCCACCCCATGACAGACTTTCCTAATGCGACCAAAATGCAGACTATTCTCCTCTGACCTCCTGAATCAGGATCTGGCCCTAGGATTCACTCTGGCCAGCGAAACGAGTGGAGATGATGTGCCTTGCTTGCAGGCAAGACATTCAAGAGGCTGTTTTCCTTGACCGTGGCCAGCAGCAATTGTAGAAGTACACGCCAACACCGGGGTGCCACAAGATTGAAGCCGCCTAGCCTGGGGATCCATCTCCCAGAGTCACCACACTCACAGCAGAACATATACTTGTGTTAAGCCACTGAGATCTTACTTCAGCAAGACCTCAGGCATCCTGGCCACTGCAAACCCTATGCACAAGGACAAGGGAGGAGACATTGAAATGACCCAGCTGTGACCCAAGATCACAGCAGGGAGCAGGGGAATGACTGCAGTCTAGGACTTCTCTCTCCTTGCTTTGTGCCGGTCCCTCTGCATTCCCTGTACCCCTTTGCTTCCGTGACTACAGTGGAAGTAGCACAGGGCATCAGGAAGAGGCAGCAGGCTAGTCATGAAACAGTGCCGTGTGCAAGTTTAAAACCATAAATTGCCCAACATTTTACTATCTTGCAAAATCTTCTCTACTTTACCTGTCAAGCCATAGATGGATGTTATTGCAAGAAGTGTAAATTGCAACATTCAGTATCATCACAAATAATCATTTCTGCAAATAATCCAACAAGCTTGGGACTTGAATAGGCTCCCGTGTACCTGAAAACATGACTATGGCAGTGGAAGGTATATATAAAAGTATTTTTTTCAAATCCCCAGTTATTTACCATATTACTGATATATGAAAGTGAATAGTTAATAAAATCGTCAACATTTTGAAGAGCTATGAAATATTCTTACTACCTCTGGTTTTATTGCTCACAGAGCAGGTTCCCCTGTTCTCTCTCCTGCAGGGCTGCATAAAGCAGGCAAGATCTATGTTCCATCCCTCATAACTCTGGGACTTACAGGATAATAGATGCTGAAATACACATTCCGTGACACTGGCTGCCAGACCCAGCACCTGAAGGTGAGCAGTAGATGGAAGAAAAGATGCATTGCCGTATATATTATTACTTTTCTTGATGTACTGGTTGCCAAAAAATTAAAAATATTTCTCAACTTGGACATGTTTAAGAAGCTATTCAAGGTTTCTGGAGACTGGAAGCATGAGAATCACCATGATATTATTCTAAAGACCTTTTGAAGTTAGTGACAACATGACTAGAATAGCTCAAAGAAACTTCATGAAAATGATCCCCTTTATGAAGGAATCAGAGCTACAGAGGATTGAAGGATCCCAAACTCAGACCCTTTCTGGTCACAGGAGGCTAAACATGAACATGACTCGCTGAGCAGATGGTTGTCTAGATCCAGGCAGGCAGCAGACTGGCTGGTTGGAGTCTGGCTGCCTCTCTGTAAGGGGTAGGATGGCTACTGCTTACTTAGTTCAAGACAGTTGCTTCTGTGCATGAATCTAGGGCCCTCTAATCAAAGATCTTTAGTCAAAAAGGGAAAACAAATCCAGAAGCTGCTCTCCTCTTCTCACTATTCCCATGGCTGCCAAGCAAACCTTCTCTGTGTCATGAAACTGCCAGCCAGAACTGTTTACACGGCCACCACAGCTGCGAAGGATCATGGGAAAAGGAGTGGGCCCTGATGGGCTTAGTGCAAGCGTGACCCCATGGGATATGCTGTTACCCCAAACAAAATGAGGGTTCCTAGCATGGAAGAAGAGAGGAGTTGATGTTGGGTGGGGCAATAGTGTCCTCTACCATTACTGTGCAATTCATTCATTCATTCATGCATGCATGCATTTAATAAATGTTTTTCGAGCCTTTATTAAGAGCCAGATTCTTTGCTGACCCCCTGGGACACAAAAGTAAACAAAAGAGGCAGACATCTCTGACTTCCCCACTGAGCTTACATTCTTGGAGGAGGAGGCCAGTTTTGAAAAGGAAGCCTCATAGTATTTTAGAAAATGATAAATGCTTTGAAGGAAACTACAATAGGGGAGGAGAATAGAGAATGATGGGAGTGGGGTGGGCTTGCACTGAGATACTGGGTAGTCTGGGAAGGACTCCATAAGGAGAGGCCCTTAATCTAAGATCCAGAATATATAAGGGAGCAAGCTATGCATTACTGAGGGAAGAGCATTCCAGGTTGTCAGTGCAAAGGCCCTGAGGTGGGAGTGGCCCCCACTTGGTTGTGGAGCTCGAAGGTCAGGATTGATGTAGAGGAGTGAGACCCTGGGCAGCCTAGTAGTAAAGGGGAGTCAGGGAGGGCTGTGGGAGCCCCCCATGCATGAAAAGAACCCTGAGGGCCACGGGGAAGAATTGGCCTACAAGGAGAGGGGAGTGAAGGTAGGGGTCTGAGTGGGGCAGTCATGTGATCTGACTTGCTTTAACAGCACCACTCTGGCCACTTTGTTGAGAATGAGCTGTAGGCACCAAAGATAGAAAGCAGGAAACCAGTGTTGAGGCTATTGCAGTAATCCAGGCAAGAGAGTCTTGACTGCTTAGAGCAGGGTAGTAGCATTATTTAACACATCAGAAAAGATACAGATAATACAAAAAACAGAAGGGAGTCAGAATTTCTCTTCTCAGTATGTATATCCCTTGCTGCGAATAGAGTATAGAAGAAACCAAAAGAGCAGTGGGCTTTTCTTCACACATTCTCATTTTCTCTCATCTTAATTCCTGCCCGAATTATGTACTATTGAAGTTAATTATTGAGCTTTAAGGCGACAATCTATGAACCCATATAGTTCCTTTCCCTCTGGTTTACAGAGCTCCTTGCAAGCAAGAAGAAATGTGAAGAACTCAGTATGACACTGTTTCAGGATAAAGTTGCTGAATTAAAAATAAATGGTGAATGATCGTGCTTTCCTTTTTGGTTGTATCAACTAGGGCTTAATCCAAGAACCCTGCTTGCTGTGATGTTTTTGTTCAAGGATCTCGTGGTGTTATGCCTATTGAAAGATGTGGCTCTGGATGACTGGGTGGACTCTGGAAGGATGGAATGAAGGAGGGAGCAGATGGCGAATGTGAATGGAGGGGGAAAAAAAGATAAGCAGATGGTAGCCTCAGTGATCCTGGAGCCGTGCACAAAGGAACAAATGAGCTCATGTTTTTCCAGCCACATCTTCTGACTCCACCAGGCTCACAGCTGTCCTGTCTTGTCCACAGGGTTCTTGGTTGACCCAAGGTACAGGCCCAGTTCTGCGGTGCCACCTCTGGGAGCACTATGGAAGGTCAGAGCTTCCTTATTTAGAGGCCAGATGTTTGCTGTGTAAAGAAACTCCTGCTGCAGGTAAGCAGTTTATTGAAGTTGTGCAGACCACGGTGAGATGGAAAGGCGATGGCATGAAACATGTATATATGCGTGATACCCGCTTTCACCCTCGCGCCTTGGCCCCTCTGCCAGTTACTCCCTCATCATTCTGTTCTGTCAGGCATTTGCTTTCCTGGCATTCTGGCAGGGAGTCATCCTTCAGCTAACTAGAATGACCCTCCCACTGCCACCGGTCATAACAACATATTCCACGAGGTTGTCATAAACTTGGCCATAAAAGGCGATGCTGGCATTGATCCCGCAGCCTCGATTAACCGGAACACACCTGGGACAATACTGGGTCCATTCTCCTTTTGCAAATGGGTAAACTGAGCCCTAAGCCTGTAAATAATTTTCCCAAGGCTGCAAAGTGATTTCCGGGCAAGGTCAGATGACAGAGAATGGATTCACGAGCCTGCCTCACTGGGAAGTTTTTGGCTTTTAACTACTGGTGAGGCCAGTTTTCTGAACAGTTTTTTTAAATCTCAGATTCCTTACTGTTTTCTCCAGAACAGTGCTGCCTCCTCCTCTCACCCCTCTCCTCCCCACCATTTTTAGATATTTTATTTCAGTTAAACATTTTTCAGTTTTCCCCTTTTACTGAAAAAAAAAGATGTTGAAAAGACACAAAAGACAACTTTTGTCCATCGTTCAAACAAAAATCTTGCCATTCACAGCACCGCTGCTATACCGGGATTCTGCTCACTTTTGCACACCTTGGCCCCTTTGCCGTGTGATGACGTATTTTTACTTGGTTGAAGTCTTAGTGAGTAGGCTGTTTTATATTCTGACAATCTTACGGACCAGTCAGAGGCCTTGTTCTATTCTGTGTAATCATCGTCTCAACTATTTGTTTCTGATTAATACATGCTAATTTTAGAATATATGTGGACACTGAAAATTGTTAAGAAAATCAGCTAGCATACAACCACACTCAGAATAACTGATGCATTTTCCTAGTCTCTAAACAGACTTTTTTTATGTTAAGAATTGGAACTAAGGCTGCATAAACGAATTTCCGTTTGCTCCCCGCCCCGAGCTAGGTGGAGCCAAGCATCTGGGCCTCAGTTTCCCCGCCTGTGGTCGCCATACCGGGGGCTGGAACAGGCGAGGGCTCGGCAGCAGTGCGTGTGCGCCGCTGTGTGCGCCGGGGCCGCCAGGGGGCGCTGTGGCCCGGGTGCGGGCGGCGGCTGCGCAGCGCGGCCCCTCCCGGGCACCGCCCCGTCCCGGCCTCCTCTGCGGGTAAACAGACATGGCCGACGAGCGAGACCCGCAGGACGCTGAGCGCAACATGGGCAACCACCTGCCACTCCTGCCCGGTAACCTCCCGGGGCCGGACCTTGGCGGCGGGAAGGGCGAGGCCGGAGCCGCGAGTGGCGCGGAGGAGACGGGCGGGCGGCGGGGCTGCACCGGGAAGTGGTCGCACGGCAGCCCCTGGCCTGCGACCGAGTCGCGGCGCTCCCGTCCCTGCTGGGTCGCGGCGGGCTGGGGGCGAGGCTTCACAGGGACGGGGACCCCGACCTTTTTGTCCGCCGGTGCTCCGAGGCAGCAGTCTGGAAATGGACCGACGTGGGGGGCCGGGTCAGGTTAGCAGCCATTACTTTTCCGGGACTTCGTCCCTTTGAGAAATGAGTGACAGCTGCCATTCGTGGATAGACCGTCGTAGGCCCTGCAGTATGCGCTTTGCATGCACTTCAATGTTTAATCCTCCCTACATCCCGATTTGGTGAGAAATGGATTGGCAGTTTAGTTTAATGACTTGCCCAAGGTCATTTGCAGTGAGCAGTCCAGCTGAGTCTGTCGGCATAGCCGGCATTTCTCAACCACTTCACTGCCTTAGCACTGTTAAACTCAGTTTTCTCTTTTCTTTATGTTTTGCAAAAAATTAGACCTTGGTCTTATGTTCATATACTGTTAGAAAAAATACATCTGATAATTGTGCTGACTTGTCGTGGAGTGCTATAGATCAGATGTTTTCCAAAAGGTATTATCAGCCAAACTGAAGCTATTAGCTAAGTACCTTCACTGTAAGGCAGGAAGTGTGTTGGAGTGTCTTGGAAGTGACCAGAGGCATGATACCCATTGTGATACTTGAATGTTATATATAATCTCTACATGAGGCTCCTCAAAATATAGCTGGTAAGCTGGTAGGTGATTTAGGGCCTGATACTTGAATGCTATTATGGTTCTTCAGAGGAACTGGGAAAAGCACTGTGAAGTGTGTCTGCAGATACTCAAAGCATATACTTCGGGTGGGGTTGTGGAGAAGGCAGCCTCGGACTTAGGTTGGGGGGTAGTTGGGGAGTTTGCATCTCTTGCCAGTGGGGTTGGTTTTGTTTTGTTTTTTCCTGTGGGTTGCCAAGGAACTGTTGTGTGTTTCAGGCATTTGGCTAAGAAAAGGTGCTGAGAGGATTGATTTGTCCATGGGAGTTGCATGGATAGGAGGAGGAGGAGATTAAATGTATACAGAAGGGGACTTTTGTATAAAACCAAATCAGAGTCAAAGTCAGTGGTTGTTCCTGACGCCATCCTAGCTGAACTGGCATAAAGATGGGTCAGCCTTCAACGGAAGAGCTGAGCTGTTGTTCCTTTCACAGACATCAGCCCCTCTCTGTCGGTGCCAGGTCCAGCGTTTCAGGGAGGATGGTGGAGAGAAGAGAGGGGTACTGATGCTATGTCCGCCCTCACATGGGTTCCCGCATAAGCTGAGTCATCAGACTTCACCCTGGTGGTTCTCAACAGTGTGTGTTTTGTCCAAAAATACGAGCGGTGAAAGGACCCAGAGAGGTTATGATACAATAATGATGCTTTTCTAAATCATACATGTTTAATTTGTACAGAAACATTGGATTGCCTGTAAATCCATGTAGTATGAGTTGTTTTGAAGAGCAGTCCTCTTTAGGCGCTATGGAAATAGCTTAATATTTAAGATACAAAGAATCTCTCTTGGCCAAAGGAAACATTAATAAACAGCCAAGTAGGAGAAAATGGGTGTCAGCCATATTTATGAGAAGACTACTACATATAAGGAAATCATTTAGAGACTAGAAGTCAGAACAGTTAAAATGGAAAATTTTAAGTTACAAATTTTAGCCTTTCAGCTAATAGTTGATCTTCTAAGCTTTATGTAAGGGATCAATCAAGTGGGTCTCTCCGTAATGTTTTATCTGCTGAGAAGTTTATTGGAGGCATTTAAAAGTACAAGAAAAATGAGGTCAGAAAGGAGATTGAGCAGATCTCTGTGGTTTGTCTAGGCCAGGGTTTCTCAACCTTGAGACATTTGGCCTTTGGGACTGGAGAATTCTCTGTTGTGAGGGTTTGTTCTGTGGCTTGTATGGTGTTTAGCAGTATTCCTGGCCTCTGCCAACTAGATGGCAGTAGGACTCTTCTAGTTGTAACAAACCAAAAATATTTCCAGACATTTCCAAAAATCTACTGAGGGGCAAAATCACTCCTGCTTGAGAACCCCTGGTCCACGACGAGTGTTTTACCTGAAGCTGGCTTGAAAAGAACAGACTCCCATTTAACACAACAGCACCCAGAGAGTGTAGCTTTTTCTAATTTCCATCCCTGTAATTGGTAACATAAGTTTTTTAAACTAGATCAGTTTAGTTTTCAGAACCTAAAACATCTGTTGTGGAGAAAGCTTTCTAAAGATAGCAAGGGAGTGATGTGACTGCCTGTGAAAATTTTTCTTCCGGGTAAAAGTGATATCTTTTTTCAGTTTTAATTAACAGCTCTTCTTCCCTTTTGTCCTTCCTCCCCTGCCTCCTCCTTCCTGTCTTCTGTAGGAACTCTTGAAGGGTTTAAAATCTTAGAGATTGTCTAATTCATCCCTATCATTTTTTAGAGGTGAAGTCTGTTTTAATCAGGTAGAATGAGTAGTCTCAGGAGTCAAAATTAGTTACTGGCAAGGGAGAAGAGACAGATCTCCTTTACAGAGGAATTGCCAATAATTTATGCAGATCCTCCCTCTTCAAGGAGCTGGAGTATAACCCCTCACTCAGTAAATGTGGGTTTTGCCTAGTGAGGAGTTTCCAAAGTGTACAGTGTGGAAGGGAGGAAATCGTAACCTTGCAGTGGAGAAACCTGACATACTTCCTTGGCCAGGTGGCCAGGTGATGAAGGTCAACATCAGCAGTGACAAGTTGTAGTGGTAGTATGGACCCTGGATTTAATGCAGTGGAAACAGCCCTTCACCTCTGAGGTCTTCCTCCCCAAAATGCATAACCTAACCAAAGTGTAATCCTGATAGTAACATCCTACAAATCCTAATCAGGCACACACTCCAAAAGGTTCTGACCAGTACTCCTTGACTGTGGAGGCCATCAAAACAAGCAGGTCCGGGAGAGCAGCCCTCAGGAGCCTAAGGAGACAAGATCGCCAATGTAAAGCAGTGTCCTGGAGGGGATTCTTGAACAGAAAAAAGGCATTAGCTCGAAACTAAGGAAACCCTAATAAAATAAGGACTTTAGTTAGTAGTAATATCCCAGTGCTGATTCCTTAGTTGAGACAAATGTAGTATTCTTATATAAGCTGTCAACTGTAGGGGAAATTGGATGTTAGAGATTACAGGAATGCTCTGTACTATCTTTGCAACCTTTCTGTGAATCTTAAAAACTATTTAAAAATAAAAAAATTAGTTAAAAAAAAGTAGAGGCAGAGCGGAGCATAGGCCCTGGCCTGCCTCTTGACCATACTGTGGAGATGACCAAATGTAAGTGGTGTTGAGAAGGCCCGCTTTTCAAGGGCTCGGGATCTTCATAAAGGAATACCGCATTTGAAGGGGAACACAGCTTGGACATTTTCATCCATCTGGTTTTCTTATAATAACTCTGCTTTTACAGCAGAGAGCGAGGAAGAAGATGAAATTGAAATGGAGGTTGAAGACCAGGATAGCAAAGACGCCCAGAAACCGAACGTCATAAATTTTGACACCAGTCTGCCGACGTCACACACAGTATGTCACTTAACCGACGGATCTAATATGACAAATACATACATTTAACTATAGATAGAAGTTCCTAAAAGCAGGAGACTGAGTTTAGCATTATTGGATATTGCCTCACAATGTGGATGAGGATGCGGGCCATTTGCTGATAGATAAAACACCCTCAGCTGTGATTTCCAAGCAGTTTTACACTGTCCTGGTGTAGTTCTTTGCGGAATTGTCTCCTCAGGTTTTTTGCTAGTAGTGGAGCTAACTGAAGTACTTCTGACTCTCTACTACTTGCTTACAGGGGTGTTATTTAACATACTAACATTTTATACTAGTCATTTTTGATATTTGGACAGAGATATCTTAGAATGAAGTGTTTTTACGTAAAAAATTGCTTTTAGTTTTGTATGTGAGAGTTTGATCACAAAATACTGGAAATTCTGAGTCAAAAGTAGATTTCCATGTAGAATGTCGATACACCAACTTTATTATAAAATGTATATCTGTACCTTCTGTTTATATTTGTTTTCACCCGATTTGCTCCTCAGTTGTAGAGCGCGCGCTGTGTTAGGCATCTGTGCTGACGTGCGCCTGTGTGTGTCCCTCGACAGTATCTGGGCGCCGACATGGAAGAGTTCCACGGCAGGACGCTGCACGATGACGACAGCTGCCAGGTGATCCCAGTGCTGCCCCAGGTGATGATGATCCTCATTCCCGGGCAGACGTTACCTCTTCAGCTGTTTCACCCTCAAGAAGTCAGCATGGTGCGGAATTTAATCCAGAAAGACAGGACCTTTGCAGTTCTTGCGTACAGGTAACCTCTGAGGGTGAATTTGCCGACCACATTCTCCCTCGTGTACGGTTAGCAGTAAAGCAAAAGCCGAGCATTGTTCTGCAGCCATGGGAGATTGGGTGTCTGTGAGGTGAAAGATTTTGAGGAAAAGATTGAAAATGCAAGTTGGAGTGTTTGTGTTGTTACCATTATCGTCTAGATCAGACATACGCAGAGTTGGACTTCCTAGTATTCAAAATTTTTTTAATCAATATTTAATTTAAAAAACAGTTCTAGAATCTTATTTTCAAGAACTGTTGCTCTTTAAAGAGAAAGGGTTTTCACATTTTATTGTAAAGTATTACTTTTACAAAAGAATGGCTTGCACTTTTCTTTCTCTCAAAAATTCGTAAGCAGTGCCCCAAAGACGGTGGGCACTCAGACGGTGGGCACTCGGACTGGATTTCAGGTACCCTTGGGCAACTGGCAGTAAATGCTGGTAGAGGCAGGAGGCGCCTATAGGAAGCCCCGCCTCAGTACAGTGCTGCTAAGCAGCAGCACACATGGTCTGCAGGACTGAAGGAATCGTGGCTGGTTTGGGGACTGAGAGTTTAGACCCCTCTCCGTCCTAGATCATGGTCAGTGACTAGCAGTCTATTCTTTTCCTCAGCGCTCTAATTGTCCTTCCTGAAGCCTCCGTATATGTGATTTTAAAATAAATAAAATTAGAGTACCATTGCCGTAAGGGCTGATTGCTATGAATCATTCTCCTGTATGTGTTCTTTTGCCATCTTTGCATATTCAAAAATTAAATGTTCAAACCTGTTTCCTTTTAAAATTTACCTTGGAAGTAATATACAGGAAAGGGAAGCCCAGTTTGGAACCACAGCAGAGATATATGCCTACCGGGAAGAACAGGACTTTGGAATCGAGATAGTGAAAGTGAAAGCAGTTGGGAGACAGAGGTTCAAAGTCCTTGAGCTAAGAACACAGTCCGATGGGTAAGAAATACTATGTATCTTAAAACCAAGTGCACGTCCTAAGATTAATTGGTTTTCTGATATGTTTCTGTTACACTCACCCTTCACATTTTGTAACGTTTAGTTCTCTTTCCTTTGTAACTAGCTAGGGCTTAGTTCCTGGCATCTTGGCTTTGGAGCCGAATCACCTGGAAGTTTTTAAAACGATAGAAGCTTCAGTTCCAGCCTCATTTCCCAACCCTGGACAGTGGTTTAGTCTGGGTTGAGGCTGCACCATCTTTTTCCATGATATCCAGGTGACTTTAACATCCTCCCAGGGTTGAGAACAGTAACATAAACCCAAGGAGTGTCACTGAGGGCCTGGCTTCTTAGAGACTGAAGAGCTCTCTTCTGAGCGAAAAGGCGTGGAGAGGCCAGAGCTCGGCTCCCCCCACCCCCGAGCTCGCTGGGTGGCTGTATCCGCAGCACTCCCGTGCTCTCCGGAAGCCACTGTGCTCACCTGCCAGCCGCTCCATGTGAGCTGTAGACACCACCTAGTTAGTGTCCACCCCAGGGTGAATTTTCATCACACGTAAATGTGTTACATAGATAATAGGTGATCAGATAATGCTTATTGTTTCTGTACCTTGTGAATTGTGGAACTCTCTGTGTGTACGTTCTGGCTGTTACCACGTTGGCATGGCTGTTGTGTTTAGGGCGTTTTGACAAGTTTAAGGAATACTAACCTCATTTTTTAAAAATCCAGTTCACCTCTCTTTGCCCTTCCAAAAATCAAAAACAAGTGAAGTATTTTTCCTGATCATCACATGTTTCTCTTAGGGGTGTGGTTCGTCAACTCTGGTATATAGGAATCACCTGGGAAAACTTGGCCAGATTCAGATTCTGGGGTCTGCCTGGTCCTAGTGAATTGCTCTTATCTATAAACAGTTCAAAATTTCGTCAGACCTGTGTGGCATGGGTACTACCTTCCGAACACATGGCAATTCAGAGGTGGTCTGTTTTGCTTACGTAGTGGGCATGCTTGGATATTGCTGAGTCACGCATGTAGAGATGTGTGAGGAAACCCTTTTGGGCTAGAGAGCACGAAGCTGTAGGGGCGGGGCGCCAGAGGGTGAGGGGGGCTGTAGTTGTCCCGCCGTGGTTCCCCGGGGCCCTCCCCCGGAACCCTCACTGTGTCGGCTCGCACAGCAGCGAGGGTGCTGCCCTGTCCTTACTGGTTTGCATCTCTGCCTGCCTTGGTACACGAGCTGCTCCAGGACAGTGACTGAGACTTCCTTACGGGCTTCATTTAGGACCATGAATGTTAGATGAGTAAATGAAAGAATGCCCTCATGAGGGTGCCACGTAGTCGTAATTAGCAAGCTGTTTGGTTGGTATAGATTTTAGTAACAGTTTCATTTTTAAAGTACTTCCTATCCTCCTACTTATAAAAATTTAATGATCTGTGAATACTGTATTAAGAAAGTGTATTTCTGAGACTGTGTTAATATCAGTGACTTTTGATTGTGGGAAAACTATTTTGAACACAAGATGGCAGTAAACCATTAAGTCTGAAAACAGGTCCAAGAACATGTTTGACTCTAGTAAAGATTAACGTCCAACTGATGGGGCTGGACAGGACTTGGAAAGAGCACATTGCCTCTGTGTTTCATAGACCCACTGAGGCCTCTCACGACATGACTGTCTTCATGTAAGAGGCATCCATGGAATGAGATTTCTCTGGCTCCGCTGTCTCACTTGTCCTAGAACTACCTTCACTAGAAAAGGTGGGATGGAAGAAACTGTGGAGATCATCAAGTATTTATTTACTTCTCTTTTTCCAAATAAGAAAACCTAGAAAGATTAATCTACTGGTGAAATTAAGTGATTTGCCCTAAGTTATGCAACTAGTAAGCAACAGGGCATTGCTTATAAGGTCCCCGACTTCCCAACCAGTGCTCTTTCCACGAGACCAGCATTCCTCCATAGCATGTTTGAAAGTTACGCCAATTTCCTTTTCCACAAAGTAGGAACAGGTATCAGTCATTTTTCTTTGATATAAGTGACCCTTCATATGTAAAAATTATATGTTGTCTTATAACCTTTCCTAAGTTAAGACTCTTTGTCTTTGACATGTTCTGAACACACAAATTTGTTTTGAAAAATTAATTTTTGTAAAAAGTATATTATTGCATCACTATAAAACCCTTCAGAAATTCCACAGCATCTCTTAGTATGTGGAGAGAAAGGAGATTAATACCCCATTTGGAATTATAAGAGAAGTTCTTACCTGTCAAGTTAAATAAAGCTGCAAAGCCTAGGTAGTTAAAGGTACATATCTTAGACATTTTATTCTGACTTAAAATGTATAACTGTACCTTCATTCATTTTTCATTTGATGCAGAGAGACAAGATAACTTCTGTTGAATTGGGTCTGCAGATTGGAGATGGCATTAGTCTTTTCTTACATAAACCACTCTCATTATGCATCATGTTTCTACAGTTTATATTTGTAGTTTTTCTTTACAGAGAGATTCCAAAAGTAATCACAAGGCAGTCTGAGTGCAGAATCCTTCCAGATTTGTGCATTTTTTCCCCCTACCGTCAGAACTGTCTGAAGCAAATTTTAAAGTTTTTTTTATGGCTCAACCTAGTATTTCTTAAAGCAAGTTTATTTTTGTATTCATATTTCATTGGTTTTTATGTTGCATAAATTATGTAACCATAATCACAAAACTCTGCCATAAACAGGTGAGAAGAAACAAAAGTAGCTTATGTTAAAAGCAAATTAGCTGCTGGGAGAGAACCGAGCTGTGTGTGTGAGCAGACCCTGGGCACGCTTAACACAAGTAACATCATTGCTTAATCTTGCAGGGCAAGACAGAGCACTTTCACTGTAGACTAATTATTAAAATGATCAGTAAGCTGATTCCAGTAACATAAATGTTTTGATCATAACAAGATGTTATGTAATAGTTGGATAAAACATAATTCTTAATTTAGTTACAATGACCGTAATGAAGAAGCAGGTTTTTAAAAATTTCTATAGAATGGTATATACTTTTGCTTTAAAAATTTGATTACCAAGAATTTATGTTCATATGTCATACATTAAAGTTCACTTTTTAATGAACTCTAGTAATGTAAGAACATTTTAATACAGTTTGGACACAGCCTTTTTCTTTTTCTTTTTTTCACATTTTCCAAACTCATATAAACACATTTGAGCTTGCAGGAAAGAATGGAATTAGTGGAGTGAATCTAATAGTACCATTAAGGTAAACATGTATTTTCAGACACAGTTGTTTCCATTTAATAAAAAGATTGACCCCCAAATTTTTGTGGGTCAAGACAGTGGTTAATATGAAACACCACCATAGAATTCCTAAACATGATTAATGATGAAAGACACTTTTAATATATTTAACTTTGTCAATCTGACAGTGATGTGCTCAGCATTTGAATGTACTGAAGCATTCTATATTTCAAAAGCTATACTCTATAAGATAACAGTGCCTCCTTAGGAAAAAGCTCATAGAATACAGCCTTCCTGATAGCATTAGTTCATGATGTTTGCAATTATGATACTCACAAGTAGCATTTTGGAGATGAGGACTTTACTCTTATGAGAATTGTAAGTAATTTTTAAGTATAGGTAATGCATATTTTGATTCTTTGCATATTCAAGTTAAATGTTTGAGAACAAGAAAAGGAATGCACATAGAAATAAAGACATGTAGTTTTCCAGTCTTACTTTAACTCATTCATGTGAATGGGTTCTTGATTTTCTCTTCCTTGAGTTAGATTGCACTTAATGAGAAGAGGCAAGTGTAAGTCAGATGGTATGAGGAGACAGAGAGCTGGGAGGGGTGGGGTGTCAGAGAGTGGCTAAGAAATTTATTGATAAGTATCGAGGTATGCAGAAGCAGTTGGTTGTATTTGCCTTTTTTTAATTTCATTTATAAACTGTATTTACCTGAAATGTAGAGATCTCCCTTTCCATTCCACAGTGAGATTAAAAACCCATAACCTTAGGTTTTCTTTAACTTTGGTGTAACTTGTGAAATACAGCAATTTTCTGAAAATTCCCTGTATGTTGATATCTGCATTTGATCAATATGTTTAAAGGAGTTTGAAAGTCTTAGTATTTAAAATTACTCATGATGTTTAGAAACTTAATAGTTTGAGTTAGTTTATATTAAAAGTGAACACCATGCTTGGTTCTTTTCATTCTAGAATCCAGCAAGCTAAAGTGCAAATTCTTCCTGAATGTGTATTGCCTTCAACCATGTCTGCAGTTCAGTTAGAATCCCTCAATAAGTGCCAGATATTTCCTTCAAAACCTGTCTCATGGGAAGATGAGTGTTCATATAAATGGTGGCAGAAATACCAGAAGGTGAGAAACTAATTTTTTATGCATCCTCCAAAATAAAGACAAGGTTGTTTTTTAAGAAAAAAAAAAAAAAAACTCTCATGATTCATTTCCCAGACACTTTCTCTGGCAGTACTGTAGCTGCATTTGATCAAAGCTAGAGGTTCAAAAGCTTCCGTAGGCAGCCATTTATGTAAAGTAGTTTGCAGAAGGCGTCATAGGTCACAGCGCTCCCGGGTGTTCTTGCTAGCGTGTCTGTCGTATATTAGTTAATAGCTTTGTGTTTTTTAATTGTGTAGTAATCACCTGCTAAACTATGATCAGATCAGATGTTTGGCTCTTGAGTCATAAACATTTTCTTATGGAAAGGAAAGTTTCTGGTAGCACAGCAGTAGTAGAGTATGTTTTACTTCTGCACTTCTGAAAGAAAAGCCGTGTTTTAGCCATCTTTTTGTACAATGCCAGTCACATCACCAAAATTGGCTTGAGATGGCATGCTCTTTAAAAGTATTGCTTGTTTGGGCCTTAATTCGTAGGTATATAATCGTTTTAACCGGATCATCCTTTCTCTTAGAAAAAAATGGATGAAGCTTGTTTCTGCTCATCTGTGAGATGTATCAGTTTTGAGGATAAAACATCAAGTTTTTACCATTTCTGTGTAAAGGAAAAGAGTACTCATTTCTTAATTTAAAACAAATTTAGAACAAATTGTTTTATTGAGGTGTATCTTTTAAAAGTATGGACAAACAATTACCATTGTAACCTGAAAACTCCTACATTAATCATCCCTTACCCTGTCAGGTAGAAGAGTGCAGGTTTTAATTTTATGTAAATTAGAATAGGATCCTAATTTGGTGTACATTATATAGATTATTCCTAAAGGGGTTTCATACAGTAGTCTGTCCTGCCAGTTTTAACATTCTTGCGGTAGAATTAGTCCAGTTTTCAGGGAGATCTTCGTAGGCGGGAAGGCTGCCTGCTGGGCATCAGGCTCATAACTGGGTGTGTGTGTAGACTTCTTGGTCTTGTTACTCTGTATCTCACTTGACGAGTCTGAGGCATGGTTTTATGTGTTTCAGTGTTTCCAAGACAAGTCTACTAAGAAAGTTATAATTAGACTGCTTAAGAGTCCCAAGCAACCTTGAGACTAACAGTGTGTGGTCACAGCAACCCAGCTTGGTCCCAGGGCATTCGGACTTGGGCCTTTGCTGTGGGTTGTCACTGGCTCACAAGGGCCAGGAGCCACAAGTGTGCAAAGACCAGATCTTCTGGCCTTTCTGTGTTGTCTTTTTTGTCTGATAATATAATAATTCTGGACTCTCAAACATCAGCTTTCAGTTATTCTCATACTCACCCAGGACTAACCAGAAAGTACTAAGTAATGAGAGAGGCCTAAAAGGTCTTAAGATACATGCCTTTATCCCTTGTCTACTTCAGAGTTGGGTTTAATGGGTTCCCTTGCGTTTGAGTAGAGTTTTTTAGGTTCTGGAATTTGGATCTAGATCACTCTGCCAAGAGAAATTGCTAGCTTATCCATTTTGGACTCCAGATGACCTCTCAGCCCTATTCCATTTTGGAGAGACCAGTTAGAGCCATTCTGTGCGCATCAAAAACTGGAGCCCGATGCAGGGAGAAGACAGTGGATATGTCGGCAGGAAGCCCACGTGTGGTGGTGCTGCCTCAGTGGTGCGACGTGTTGCTCCATTTCCTGAACACTCACTTATCATGGAGCTGGGGGATGTGAGGCTGCTTCTCTTTAGACAGTCTAGGGCCACAATTCCTTTCTTTGTGGAACCTATTTGTATCTGGTTGGTACGTCCCACCACAGTTTGAAACAGTGCATCCATGTGTGTCCACGTCTGAGGTGGTTAATGTGGTCAAAATTGGGAAATGCTTACGTGATGTTAAGCTGACTCAAGTTAATCGGGTGGCCACACACTTTCCCTGCTAACAGGGTAGTGAGGGTAGGCTCCAGCAGTGTGCTCTTCCTGAGCTGTATTCAGTGAACCAAGAAACCGTGTAACCTCTGAACATTTTCAATTGAGAATTAACCATCCCAAATGACTTAGTTATGTAGCTTCCAGAATGGTTCCTGTGTGTATTCTCCTCTGACGAGGGAGCGTTAGTGATGTCCCTAATGACCGGCAGTCAGGAAACTCCCCAAACCCACTTTCGGCCGGAGGCCTTGCATGCTCTGTGATTTGGTGTTTCAGAGTACTGCTCACGTGTCTCCTTTCCTAGCCCAGTGTCTTTCCTCACTGGCTTTACGGGAGTGGGCTTCTCCAGGAGTGGGGAGACTGCTCTCTGACCTCCTTACGGGCACTCTCTGCTACACAGACTGTCTGCTTGTTTATAAAGCCCACGAAGTTTTGAATATGAAATGTGAAAAAGAAATCAAATTTGGAAACATATTAAGAAGGGTCGATGACCATTGTTCTAGTCTCTGCTACTGTGAAAGCCACGGCCCCTCCGGCTTATCCTACAGAGTGGGGCGGACCTGAGCGCCCATTCAGAAGGGCAGGGCCCTCAACAGGTCAATTTCTTAGTCTTCTTCCAACAGTTTCTTTATGAATGCCCAAGTAAATATTGCACCTGTCCCCCTCCTCCTCACTGTGAAAGGATATATGCTGTCCTGGACCTTATTCTCTGTTAACTGTGTATGAAATTGTGTGTGTCAGTTTTGGACACTGCTTCCTTCTTTTCAAAGCTGTACTTTCATGGATACACTATCCTTTGCAATAACCAGTCCCTTATGGATGACAGCTGTGCACTCAGTGTGTGTACAAATGACCTTCCATACAGGTCATCAGATGTAATTTTGAGAAGTGGAATCACTGAACGACAGGGCAACTGCTTCTATGATTTGTGGTGGGTATTCTCAGAGTACCTTCCTAAGCAGGCTGTTGCTAGGTGTGATCTAATGAAATAGTGTTTCCCCAGGGCCTGATGGGCTGTGTAGTGTACAGTGTGGAATGGAACGCCCTTCACTAGCCCCCAGCATTGACAGCTCTGTCTATAGCGACAATAAGACTGTTTTTGCTTCCTCGTAAGTCATGTGTTCACCAGAGTACCCCTTATAATTGAGAGGCCCAGCTTTAGTTTTTGTTTTTTGACATGCTTTTCTCACTTAGCTTCATTGTTTCTAGATTTTGACATAAAAGGAGATGTGTGGCCCTTCCTTTCAACTTGCTCACTTGGACACCATTGTGGTTTGCGAGTGGCCTGATTTCAGTGTTGTGTTGCAGGGACTGGGCAGGCCCAGGAGAGGGAAACAGCTGGTGGGTAGAGCAGTTAACACACTGCATTTATCTGTCAGGGTCACTGTCGCCTTTGGTTATGAAGGGTGTTGCCCCCAAGCCATTACAATAGTGACATCATTCATCACAGATCAAAATAACAAATACAAAAATGATGAAACAGTTTGAAATACTGCAAGAATTACCAAAAGGTAAGAGAGGCACAAAGGGGGCAAAGGCTGGGAGGATGGCGCCAGCAAACTTGTGCAGAGCAGGGTCGCCACACATGTTGCGTGGTAAGGTGTGAAGATGCGGTGTCTGCTAAGTATAGTGCGGTCAAGTGCAGTCAAACGAGGCACCTCTATACTTGGAGTTCATCCCGGACCGTCTTTGGGTTGCTTCAAATGCAAGACCTATATTGGGCCAAAAAATCTCAGTGAAAAACCCACTGGCCTAAGTTGTAGTCTGTGGGCCTTCCGGACCAAGTCCGTGCCTGTTCACGTAGCAGCTCCAAACTAAACGCTCCTCGGGTTGACTCGGGCCTCCTCCCCGGCATCCTGGCTCCTGACGGAGCTCCCGCTGCTCACCATCACAGAAGAGTACTGTCTTAGCTCTAAGAGCTGGGGAAGCCTAGGGAGGGCAGAAGGGATGAGCTCTGCAGCCTGCTGAGCTCTGCAGCCTGCTGGTCATGTCCCGCTCACGAGCCCTAGGTCCGTGTCCCTGTGCTGGGGCCCACATTTCCTCACTCCATGCCTGATCATTGGTCTTGTAGCTGCAAGCCTAGGGTTTCCCTTTTATTTTGGTGACCGTTCACTTGCTTTTCTTGTTCCACTCTGGTAAAGTCCTTTTTTAGGTGCCTTATTACTTTTGTACCTTGTCTCGTGTGTCCTGCTGTGCCTGTTACGGTCACTGATGACAACCAGAGATCTGTCTGTCAGGCTCTGCTTACTGAGAAAAATGTGATCACTCTTCATTCTGTCAGTTTGATGGACCTTCTTTGATGGGGTGGAGAGTACTCCCTAATGTGAACATGTTCTAATGCCTTGAAGTATTGTTAGTTGATGTTTAGGTTTCCAGTGTGTGTTGTTAGCACTGTGGGCGGGAATGCATCCTTTCAATCATTTTTCTCTTACTCCACTTCTCTTCCCAAATTTTCTTGATTGTGTTTACATGTTTATTCTTCAAGATAAATTTTAAATTATGCTTCTAAAATCCAGTATCATTAGTATTGCATTGAATACTTTGAGCACTGGCATCTTAATTATTTGGTCTTCCCATTGAATATTAATTCACATTTTTATATGGATTCAGATCCCAAAATACAACTGGAGATACATAATGGTTTTCTCATTTCTCCCAGTTTTATGAAATGGGGGACTTGACCATGAAGTCTCAAGTGTATGCCATCGTTTCTTTCTTGCCGCTGCCGGTCTCTGGAGGACTCAGGGAGAGACATCTACAGTTCTGACACAGTTCAGATTGCACTGTGGGGCTTTCACTGAAGATAACGCACAAGTAATTACTAGTGTCAAGGCAGATGATGTAGTCCATAGAAGTGTGATGTTTAGTCCTCTTCCAGTTCATCTTATTTTTACTAAGTTGTCTTTAGCATTGAAATTTTAATATTTGAATTCTTACATTAAGAATCAGGATTCTAGTTGCAGTATATACTTGAAGGATATAAAATCATGATGGTCATACTTAATTATTATCTACTAGAGGATTGTCCACAGAATTTTCCATCTTTTTGAAATTAGGAAATCCTTTCTTGAGTCAAAATGCTTTTTTCAGATGTTGCTTTCCACCAGAGGAATCTTATTCTATAGGTTTTTTAAGTGACTTTTTTTTGGTTGTTTTCAGAGAAAGTTTCATTGTGCAAATTTAACTTCATGGCCTCGCTGGTTGTATTCCTTATATGATGCCGTAAGTACCTTGAGTATTCTTTTGGGGTAAGCCACGTCAGAAGGGCCATTGTTTACACTCTTCGGGTTTTAAGAGTATGCATTGCCACATCTTGCAAAACTCACTGGGAGACAGTTGGAATACTTCAGAGGATCTGGGTTTTACACACACACACAGTTTTCTCTGTGGCTTGGAGCAGATTACATCTCTAAAGGGGTTGTTTTAAATGGGGAAAATGGCAGCTCTTATACTTGCCATGTGGTACACATTCAACAACTGTTAAGTCACTTCCCTTGGTGAATCACCTTGCCCACAAACTCAGGAAGCAGATTTTGAGCCCTATCATGTACACAACATTAAAGGAAACTGTATCGCCCTCTGCCCTCCAGCAGCGGAGCCAGTAAAGTAAACAGCGCGCAAAAGGCTGTCTCGCATACACTTGTAGGAAGATAGTGCAGGCCCAGCAGTCCCTATGGGCTGAGTCAGAAATGGGGACCAGAGGGGCCAGTTCCAAGCAGTGCGCACACCATACCCAGCAGGGCAGCGAGCTGGGAGCAGGGCCCCCGGACAGGCTGTGAGAGAGGCTGGAGGAGCCAGCCTGGCTGCGGACTGAGGGGCCGGACTCGGACTTGGCTTGTTTGTGGAAGGCAGATATGTCGAAACTGGGGCTCAGATTTAACTACATAGTGATCTTTGTTCAGTTGCTATCAAGGTATTAGTTCTGTTACAGAGTTGGACAGGTGACAGTGTAAAGTTCCGTGCACCTTATTAGGGCTGCTTTTATTTCTAACAAGGAAACCTTAATGGACAGAATCAAGAAACAGCTACGTGAGTGGGATGAAAATCTCAAAGAGGATTCTCTTCCTTCAAATCCAATAGGTATGAAACATCGTTTCCTTCCTGTGGCCTGATGTCTTCTTACTAAAAGAAGTTATTTAGACTTTAATGAGAACAAAAGTTTAGTACTTTTTTATTCTCAAGTGTGTATACAAAGCTCTTGCTTAGAGCAGTTTAAAAAATTACTGTTTTGTAGCTAATTTAACAGTTGTTAAGTTCTGTGCCCCAATTTCAGGCAGGGTTTTCTTAAGAACTTGAAATCACAGTACATAGCTCAAGCATAAAAACACTTTCTAAGTGTAAAGAATCTCCTTTCCCTGTTGTTTAAAGTAGCTTTACAAAGTGACCCCAGTTTTAGGACTGACCTTATTTACCCTGTATCTGTGTATTAGGTACAGGTTAGTTATTTTTCTAGTCTCTAAGCAAGTAAGTGACATCTTTTACTTAACGTGGATTTCATGTTTAAAGAACTTCCAAGAGTATATATAGTTAGTAGTTGGTATATTTTAGTATTGTCTGTCACTGTGTGGAACCTGGTCTTTGGGGACCTTGTAGAGAAAGGTTTATCTGAGTCATGATATACCTGATACCTACCTGCTTCCTAAGTTTAAACTTGAAAAACCCACCCTGTCTCCAAGATTTTTCTTACAGAGTAGCTGCCTGTCTTCCTATTGATGATGTATTAAGAATTCAGCTCCTTAAAATCGGCAGTGCGATCCAGCGACTGCGCTGTGAACTAGATATTATGAACAAGGTGAGTAAAGTGCGCGCATTTTTGCCCCCGCCGCTCTGTTGGCGTACAGCTGGGCTGTGCAGTTGGGATGAGCAGAGCAGCTGCCTAGAGGGTCTAGGCACATAGTCATGCAGTTAGAAAACTAGTGTGCCCATCATGGTTCACATTAAAAATGTTTTAAAGGATAAAAATTACATTGGGCATCATAGAAACTCAACATTACGTTCGAATACTTAAGAGTTTGTGAAAACACTTGATTTCTTCATGGTACAGCTACAGTTGTATCAGTCACTATATGTGAACAGCCCATCTCAGATTCTTACTCCATCATCTTTTTTTTTTTTTGAGAGGGCATCTCTCATATTTTTTGATCAAATGGTTGTTAACAACAATAAAATTCTGTATAGGGGAGTCAGTGCTCAATAATCTTCTGGCCTTTCTGTGTTGTCTTTTTTGTCTGATAATATAATAATTCTGGACTCTCAAACATCAGCTTTCAGTTATTCTCATACTCACCCAGGACTAACCAGAAAGTACTAAGTAATGAGAGAGGCCTAAAAGGTCTTAAGATACATGCCTTTATCCCTTGTCTACTTCAGAGTTGGGTTTAATGGGTTCCCTTGCGTTTGAGTAGAGTTTTTTAGGTTCTGGAATTTGGATCTAGATCACTCTGCCAAGAGAAATTGCTAGCTTATCCATTTTGGACTCCAGATGACCTCTCAGCCCTATTCCATTTTGGAGAGACCAGTTAGAGCCATTCTGTGCGCATCAAAAACTGGAGCCCGATGCAGGGAGAAGACAGTGGATATGTCAGCAGGAAGCCCACGTGTGGTGGTGCTGCCTCAGTGGTGCGACGTGTTGCTCCATTTCCTGAACACTCACTTATCATGGAGCTGGGGGATGTGAGGCTGCTTCTCTTTAGACAATCTAGGGCCACAATTCCTTTCTTTGTGGAACCTATTTGTATCTGGTCGGTACGTCCCACCACAGTTTGAAACAGTGCATCCATGTGTGTCCACGTCTGAGGTGGTTAATGTGGTCAAAATTGGGAAATGCTTACGTGATGTTAAGCTGACTCAAGTTAATCGGGTGGCCACACACTTTCCCTGCTAACAGGGTAGTGAGGGTAGGCTCCAGCAGTGTGCTCTTCCTGAGCTGTATTCAGTGAACCAAGAAACCGTGTAACCTCTGAACATTTTCAATTGAGAATTAACCATCCCAAATGACTTAGTTATGTAGCTTCCAGAATGGTTCCTGTGTGTATTCTCCTCTGACGAGGGAGCGTTAGTGATGTCCCTAATGACCGGCAGTCAGGAAACTCCCCAAACCCACTTTCGGCCGGAGGCCTTGCATGCTCTGTGATTTGGTGTTTCAGAGTACTGCTCACGTGTCTCCTTTCCTAGCCCAGTGTCTTTCCTCACTGGCTTTACGGGAGTGGGCTTCTCCAGGAGTGGGGAGACTGCTCTCTGACCTCCTTACGGGCACTCTCTGCTACACAGACTGTCTGCTTGTTTATAAAGCCCACGAAGTTTTGAATATGAAATGTGAAAAAGAAATCAAATTTGGAAACATATTAAGAAGGGTCGATGACCATTGTTCTAGTCTCTGCTACTGTGAAAGCCACGGCCCCTCCGGCTTATCCTACAGCGTGGGGCGGACCTGAGCGCCCATTCAGAAGGGCAGGGCCCTCAACAGGTCAATTTCTTAGTCTTCTTCCAACAGTTTCTTTATGAATGCCCAAGTAAATATTGCACCTGTCCCCCTCCTCCTCACTGTGAAAGGATATATGCTGTCCTGGACCTTATTCTCTGTTAACTGTGTGTGAAATTCTGTGTGTCAGTTTTGGACACTGCTTCCTTCTTTTCAAAGCTGTACTTTCATGGATACACTATCCTTTGCAATAACCAGTTCCTTATGGATGACAGCTGTGCACTCAGTGTGTGTACAAATGACCTTCCATACAGGTCATCAGATGTAATTTTGAGAAGTGGAATCACTGAACGACAGGGCAACTGCTTCTATGATTTGTGGTGGGTATTCTCAGAGTACCTTCCTAAGCAGGCTGTTGCTAGGTGTGATCTAATGAAATAGTGTTTCCCCAGGGCCTGATGGGCTGTGTAGTGTACAGTGTGGAATGGAACGCCCTTCACTAGCCCCCAGCATTGACAGCTCTGTCTATAGCGACAATAAGACTGTTTTTGCTTCCTCGTAAGTCATGTGTTCACCAGAGTACCCCTTATAATTGAGAGGCCCAGCTTTAGTTTTTGTTTTTTGACATGCTTTTCTCACTTAGCTTCATTGTTTCTAGATTTTGACATAAAAGGAGATGTGTGGCCCTTCCTTTCAACTTGCTCACTTGGACACCATTGTGGTTTGCGAGTGGCCTGATTTCAGTGTTGTGTTGCAGGGACTGGGCAGGCCCAGGAGAGGGAAACAGCTGGTGGGTAGAGCAGTTAACACACTGCATTTATCTGTCAGGGTCACTGTCGCCTTTGGTTATGAAGGGTGTTGCCCCCAAGCCATTACAATAGTGACATCATTCATCACAGATCAAAATAACAAATACAAAAATGATGAAACAGTTTGAAATACTGCAAGAATTACCAAAAGGTAAGAGAGGCACAAAGGGGGCAAAGGCTGGGAGGATGGCGCCAGCAAACTTGTGCAGAGCAGGGTCGCCACACATGTTGCGTGGTAAGGTGTGAAGATGCGGTGTCTGCTAAGTATAGTGCGGTCAAGTGCAGTCAAACGAGGCACCTCTATACTTGGAGTTCATCCCGGACCGTCTTTGGGTTGCTTCAAATGCAAGACCTATATTGGGCCAAAAAATCTCAGTGAAAAACCCACTGGCCTAAGTTGTAGTCTGTGGGCCTTCCGGACCAAGTCCGTGCCTGTTCACGTAGCAGCTCCAAACTAAACGCTCCTCGGGTTGACTCGGGCCTCCTCCCCGGCATCCTGGCTCCTGACGGAGCTCCCGCTGCTCACCATCACAGAAGAGTACTGTCTTAGCTCTAAGAGCTGGGGAAGCCTAGGGAGGGCAGAAGGGATGAGCTCTGCAGCCTGCTGAGCTCTGCAGCCTGCTGGTCATGTCCCGCTCACGAGCCCTAGGTCCGTGTCCCTGTGCTGGGGCCCACATTTCCTCACTCCATGCCTGATCATTGGTCTTGTAGCTGCAAGCCTAGGGTTTCCCTTTTATTTTGGTGACCGTTCACTTGCTTTTCTTGTTCCACTCTGGTAAAGTCCTTTTTTAGGTGCCTTATTACTTTTGTACCTTGTCTCGTGTGTCCTGCTGTGCCTGTTACGGTCACTGATGACAACCAGAGATCTGTCTGTCAGGCTCTGCTTACTGAGAAAAATGTGATCACTCTTCATTCTGTCAGTTTGATGGACCTTCTTTGATGGGGTGGAGAGTACTCCCTAATGTGAACATGTTCTAATGCCTTGAAGTATTGTTAGTTGATGTTTAGGTTTCCAGTGTGTGTTGTTAGCACTGTGGGCGGGAATGCATCCTTTCAATCATTTTTCTCTTACTCCACTTCTCTTCCCAAATTTTCTTGATTGTGTTTACATGTTTATTCTTCAAGATAAATTTTAAATTATGCTTCTAAAATCCAGTATCATTAGTATTGCATTGAATACTTTGAGCACTGGCATCTTAATTATTTGGTCTTCCCATTGAATATTAATTCACATTTTTATATGGATTCAGATCCCAAAATACAACTGGAGATACATAATGGTTTTCTCATTTCTCCCAGTTTTATGAAATGGGGGACTTGACCATGAAGTCTCAAGTGTATGCCATCGTTTCTTTCTTGCCGCTGCCGGTCTCTGGAGGACTCAGGGAGAGACATCTACAGTTCTGACACAGTTCAGATTGCACTGTGGGGCTTTCACTGAAGATAACGCACAAGTAATTACTAGTGTCAAGGCAGATGATGTAGTCCATAGAAGTGTGATGTTTAGTCCTCTTCCAGTTCATCTTATTTTTACTAAGTTGTCTTTAGCATTGAAATTTTAATATTTGAATTCTTACATTAAGAATCAGGATTCTAGTTGCAGTATATACTTGAAGGATATAAAATCATGATGGTCATACTTAATTATTATCTACTAGAGGATTGTCCACAGAATTTTCCATCTTTTTGAAATTAGGAAATCCTTTCTTGAGTCAAAATGCTTTTTTCAGATGTTGCTTTCCACCAGAGGAATCTTATTCTATAGGTTTTTTAAGTGACTTTTTTTTGGTTGTTTTCAGAGAAAGTTTCATTGTGCAAATTTAACTTCATGGCCTCGCTGGTTGTATTCCTTATATGATGCCGTAAGTACCTTGAGTATTCTTTTGGGGTAAGCCACGTCAGAAGGGCCATTGTTTACACTCTTCGGGTTTTAAGAGTATGCATTGCCACATCTTGCAAAACTCACTGGGAGACAGTTGGAATACTTCAGAGGATCTGGGTTTTACACACACACACAGTTTTCTCTGTGGCTTGGAGCAGATTACATCTCTAAAGGGGTTGTTTTAAATGGGGAAAATGGCAGCTCTTATACTTGCCACGTGGTACACATTCAACAACTGTTAAGTCACTTCCCTTGGTGAATCACCTTGCCCACAAACTCAGGAAGCAGATTTTGAGCCCTATCATGTACACAACATTAAAGGAAACTGTATCGCCCTCTGCCCTCCAGCAGCTTCGGAGCCAGTAAAGTAAACAGCGCGCAAAAGGCTGTCTCGCATACACTTGTAGGAAGATAGTGCAGGCCCAGCAGTCCCTATGGGCTGAGTCAGAAATGGGGACCAGAGGGGCCAGTTCCAAGCAGTGCGCACACCATACCCAGCAGGGCAGCGAGCTGGGAGCAGGGCCCCCGGACAGGCTGTGAGAGAGACTGGAGGAGCCAGCCTGGCTGCGGACTGAGGGGCCGGACTCGGACTTGGCTTGTTTGTGGAAGGCAGATATGTCGAAACTGGGGCTCAGATTTAACTACATAGTGATCTTTCTTCAGTTGCTATCAAGGTATTAGTTCTGTTACAGAGTTGGACAGGTGACAGTGTAAAGTTCCGTGCACCTTATTAGGGCTGCTTTTATTTCTAACAAGGAAACCTTAATGGACAGAATCAAGAAACAGCTACGTGAGTGGGACGAAAATCTCAAAGAGGATTCTCTTCCTTCAAATCCAATAGGTATGAAACATCGTTTCCTTCCTGTGGCCTGATGTCTTCTTACTAAAAGAAGTTATTTAGACTTTAATGAGAACAAAAGTTTAGTACTTTTTTATTCTCAAGTGTGTATACAAAGCTCTTGATTAGAGCAGTTTAAAAAATTACTGTTTTGTAGCTAATTTAACAGTTGTTAAGTTCTGTGCCCCAATTTCAGGCAGGGTTTTCTTAAGAACTTGAAATCACAGTACAATTAGCTCAAGCATAAAAACACTTTCTAAGTGTAAAGAATCTCCTTTCCCTGTTGTTTAAAGTAGCTTTACAAAGTGACCCCAGTTTTAGGACTGACCTTATTTACCCTGTATCTGTGTATTAGGTACAGGTTAGTTATTTTTCTAGTCTCTAAGCAAGTAAGTGACATCTTTTACTTAACGTGGATTTCATGTTTAAAGAACTTCCAAGAGTATATATAGTTAGTAGTTGGTATATTTTAGTATTGTCTGTCACTGTGTGGAACCTGGTCTTTGGGGACCTTGTAGAGAAAGGTTTATCTGAGTCATGATATACCTGATACCTACCTGCTTCCTAAGTTTAAACTTGAAAAACCCACCCTGTCTCCAAGATTTTTCTTACAGAGTAGCTGCCTGTCTTCCTATTGATGATGTATTAAGAATTCAGCTCCTTAAAATCGGCAGTGCGATCCAGCGACTGCGCTGTGAACTAGATATTATGAACAAGGTGAGTAAAGTGCGCGCATTTTTGCCCCCGCCGCTCTGTTGGCGTACAGCTGGGCTGTGCAGTTGGGATGAGCAGAGCAGCTGCCTAGAGGGTCTAGGCACATAGTCATGCAGTTAGAAAACTAGTGTGCCCATCATGGTTCACATTAAAAATGTTTTAAAGGATAAAAATTACATTGGGCATCATAGAAACTCAACATTACGTTCGAATACTTAAGAGTTTGTGAAAACACTTGATTTCTTCATGGTACAGCTACAGTTGTATCAGTCACTATATGTGAACAGCCCATCTCAGATTCTTACTCCATCATCTTTTTTTTTTTTTGAGAGGGCATCTCTCATATTTTTTGATCAAATGGTTGTTAACAACAATAAAATTCTGTATAGGGGAGTCAGTGCTCAATATACAATAATTAATCCACCCCAAGCCTAATTCTCGTCAGTCTCCAGTCTTCTGAAGCATAACGAACAAGTTCTTACATGGTGAACAGTGCAAGGGCATTCATCACAGAAACTTTCGGTTTTGATCATGCGTTATGAACGATAAACAATCAGGTCAAATATGAATATTCGTTTGATTTTTATGTGAATCCCACATTTTTAATAAAATGCTGAAGTGGTAGGTAGATGCAAGATAAAGGTAGAAAACATAGTTTAGTGTTATAAGAGGGCAAATGTAGATGATCAGGTGTGTGCCTGAAGACTTAAGTGTTAATCCAAGCTAGACAAGGGCAATAAAACATCCACGGATTCGCTCCATCTTTAAAAGTGTTTTTGAATGTTGGGAGGAAATATGCAGGGACATATAAACTGCTTAGAGAAGTTTTTCAATGAGCTGTGTGCAATTACTTAATGACATGAATGTAAATTTTTTTAGTGTACATCCCTTTGCTGTAAACAATGTCAAGAAACAGAAATCACAACCAAAAATGAAATATTCAGGTGAGTTCTTTATTACATTTTTAGTAATTACATTTCCCCCTAATCTTTGTTGAAAATCTGTGCATTATGTAACAACATCATAAGGACTTAAATGAATGCTGTGGGCACAAATAGCCCAAGGTAAAGTAGGACATGCTGCTGAACATACACTGTGTCTTATCTTACGATGCCTGCCCAGGGATGGCCACACAGTACCTTATCCCTGCATTTCCGCTCTGAGGTTCCTTTAGATGAAGGTGAGCTCAGTGTATTGTACTATATACACACACATACACACCTGTATTTTGAGACTGCAAGTGGCTGCCAACCTCCTGTTTTTGTACTAAGATTCTGCTACTACTGAAGTGGTTAAAATCTGTAACTGTTTTTAAAATCTGTTCTTTTTAAAAATCTCACCACTAAAATTCATGTGGCCTTGACTCTGCTCATTCTGTTTTAGTTTATCCTTATGTGGGCCGATGGCAGCTTATGTGAATCCCCATGGATACGTGCACGAGACGCTTACAGTGTATAAGGCTTGCAACCTGAATCTAATAGGCCGGCCTTCCACAGAGCACAGCTGGTTTCCTGGGTAACATGGTGGTGACTTTTTTTGGTTTTGTCTTAACTGGGCAGAAAAACTCAAGAATCTTAAGCAGAGTTGCTGTAGTAGATAATTTTCAAGCCTTTCATTTCATGAATGACTACAAACAGCTATTTGAGTAAAAAAGTTACACAGTTCATCCAAACTTCCTAGTCCTGTCAGCTCATTCTGAATCAACTGTTTTATAACTTGGGAAACTGTACCTGAAGCACATCTAATAGATGAAGGTACAGAAACCATTCAACTGTGTTTGGCCTAGTAGGCCTTGGTTTTTCAAAGTATTAACTCCAGGCCAGCAGCACACCACCCAGGAACTCTCTTTGTCTTCTGTCCAGTAAATCCTAGGTCAGCCTTTTCTTTTGAAAAAGGCAGGCTGACTCATCTTGCCAGTTGGACTGAGTATCTTACATAACACAGCTTGTATTTCTGATTAAATATCTGATAAAAATCTTATCTTCTCCCCCAATTCCCTAAGTGTGACGCTCACAGAAGTGTGTGTTTCTAGGTTGACAGTGATACCAAACAACAAAGGAAAAGCAGCTGTAGGTAGAATGTGATCTTGGTAACCAGCAGTTTCTGTAAAGGAATCCTATTAATATTACTTTCTCTTGGCACTGAGGAAAAAAATAACTCATATGAAAAAAATAACTCATATGTAAAAATGGACGCCTTACCATAACGAAACATACAAATTAGAAAGTTTGTTCTGGTATTTGTTCTTCTCAATCTTTAGAATTTGCCTCAGGTCTGTCTTGGTGATGTGTTTCTGTGTAGGCTTAGGGAACAGCGATGCATTTCTGTAGCTGATGCCTCTCTCTCTCTGCAGGTATGCCTGGACCATTGCTCAGTGCAGGATCTGTGCAAGCCATATTGGATGGAAATTTACTGCCACTAAAAAAGATATGTCACCCCAAAAATTTTGGGGTTTGACTAGATCAGCTCTGTTACCCACAATCCCAGACACTGAAGATGATATAAGCCCAGACAAAGTAATACTCTGCTTGTAAAGCCACACGGTAGGATAACATTATTTAACAAGTTGGTATTCTAAAACCAGACTTGCTTTGGAAATGACTGCTCTTTGTGCATACCTAAGTAAAAAGTAACATTACATGGAAAGTTGCATTTTCTTAGTTGAAGGGTATGTGAGGAGGCTAAAAAGCAGACCAGAATGCTTTGCTTTTAGGAATACCAACTTCAGGTGCCATTACCTTGTGGACTCTGAGATGCCTAGTGGCATGTCATTAGTAGGACATGATGACATCTCTGAAAGGGATGAGACTGTTTCTGGCACAAAGCGTATTTGCATTTCCTGCAATGTGAGGTATTAATCATCTGCTTCTGAATGGAATAGCATGTCTTTATCAGTGCTCCAAATAGCTCAAGTTCCAAAAGCTAGAGTAGCTAGCACATGTCCAAGCAATGTTATTTTAATTTTGTTTGAATACTTCTGATACTCATTTGTAAATTTTGAAAATATATTAAAGAGAGTTAAAAGATATACATTCTGGGCTGCTCCCCCATTCCCCCCCCACCCCCCTCTGTTTTCATGTGCGTGTTTGAACTATGATTGTGATTAGGTTCACCTTAAACTTTGGTACAGTGAACTCTGAAGCACAGACACTAGAAGGGATAAGTTAAAGGTTGTTTTGTTCAGAGTTGAGACTCTTTAAGAGACAAATGAAATTAAACATTCATTTTAAATAATATACAACTACTCATAAGCACATAACTTAGATCTAAGAAATAATTTTCAAGTTCTAGAATAGACCAATTTGCTACCTACCTCTTTGCCTAAACCTTCAAGGTTTTATTGGATCCTTTCACATGTGTACTATAAACTTTGGGAAAACTGTTAGGTCAAAAACTTTTATGCTTTTTGTCTTTTACCACAAACTGTGTGTTCTGTTGCGTATGTACGTAAAGGAAGAGCAGCTCAAGAATGCTGTCAGTTTTTTAGCCTAGGCCTTGTTTCACAAGCCCAAGGTGGTGGTAATGTTTCTTGCAAACTGTACTTTGTCTTCTTAGCAGCACCTTTACATCACCATCTAAAGCAGTGGCAGAGGGAACATTTGCCCCCTGCAGGGTTTACTTAGACTGCTAAATTGACACTTGCAAATAAACTTCTCTGATACATAAAAATATGCATATACTACTATTTTAAGTGTTTTTGTACATGACAAACCTGGGATTCTACAATGTTGGGTACAAATGTGTCTCAGGGTAGCACTTAGGTGACTGAGCTGAGTGCAGTGTAGCGTGTCACACACACTTCCTGTTAGCTGGGCTTCAACAGAACCTAAGATCTGAAATTGGTATTTGCCCACACAGTAAGGAAAACCAGAATGTCACAGTTGAAATAACATTTGTGCTATATACCTATTTACCCACTGAAAAACATTTAGGGCTCAAATCTTGAAAGACGAAATTATATAGGCCTACCCTCTTCATTAGTGAAAGAAATGGACTCCAAAGGGCAGGGGTATTGTCACTTGCATATACAGGCCACCTGATTGATACTCAGGTACCACACACACATGATCTTCCAAACCCAGGGAAAATGCTTATGAAAAAATAACAGGCCCAAGAGGAGAACCCTCAAGCTAACCTTTCCCAGGCTTGGAGTGCACAGTGAAGGAAATCACTCACAGGATGTGTCAACAACCTCAACAAACCAGTCCAACACACCTTGTACAAATTCCAGCCCCCTGGGACATATCTAAATAGGACATTTCATGCAGATCTGTCACCTATTTTCAGGCACAAGATTATTCTGTAATTCAGATAAGACCTTAAATAACTCAGTTCTTTCAGTTGCAAACACTTGTTTAAGACAGTTACCCCTTTGTAAGATCCATCTTAGTAATGCCCTATGCAAAAAAAAGAAAAAAAAAAACTTAAAGCCTAGAACAAAAGGGAAACCAAGTATACTTTTTCCCAGTAGGAACTGTTCCAAGAAAATTACCAGATTCATAGATAGAAATCAGATTAGGAGGAGGTTAAGTGCCTGAAATAAAACTACATGTCACAAAATAAGACAGACCTTCTTCTTGAGAGGTCCCGTAAAATGGCTTTTATTCAGCCCAGTCTCTCAAAATTCTCACTCAGGAGGAGGAGGGGAGAAAATCTAAGTCTTACCAAATTTTCTGTTCAGTAGCAGCTGCCGTCCACTTTAGGTCTTCCTTATGTAACTCAGAAGTTCATCCTTCTCCATTTGGTAGCCACTTTTCTTCCACTGTTCTCGCAACTGCTGGAGTAGAGCCCCGATTTCTTTTCCTGAAGAAATGCCCACTTTTCTGATGTCATGGCCACTGACAGGAAAAGGAGGGATGGACCACTGCTGCATGTGCTTCAGGAGAGCGTGCTCCCCTTGGTATTTCAGTAGCTCACACACACGGGCGGTTGCATCAGCCTCTCTAGACTAAATGCCAAAAGCAAACATTTAGTTGCATCACACATTAGACACTTGCTAATTGATCTTATCCTAAATTTAAGTTACTACTGATGTGACTGCTTTCACTGACCATAAATGGAATTCACAGAATCACAGTGGGTCTTAGTATTAACAAGTTAGTGAAGATGATTTACATTCTGACCAAGCCTAGTATATACTTACATCTATAATGAAGTCTTGATAGGGTTTCAATGGCTCTGAATTATCTGTTGATTTAATTAAATCTCTCCTGTTTTTAACTATAAATAAACCAAGGTTTTTCTCTTCTTTTGAAATCTTCAACCTCAAATCCAACTTTGTGACATCATCCTGTACTTTGAATAATGAGGCCAGAAGAGTCATTGGCTTTGGTGAAAAACCTTCAACATTTTTACTGACTTTATTAAATTCTTCTAAACTTGCATTAGCAGGTAGGCCTGTAGGGGGGAAAAAAAGCACTTTTTCATCTGTATAGGGTATAATAAATTCAATACAAACGCTCAGAACCTGAAGCAACTGTTCAGTACACAGAAACGCCCTGGCGCTACCCCTCACTACTGGTCCGATCTGATGCTCCAGCTCACAGGGAAACCGCCCTCGCTGTCGTCGCCCATACTGTGTGTTTCCCTTACTAAGCGATACCAGGAGGTCCAGAGGCCACGCTGATGGCAGGGTCAGATTCCCAAGGGACACATACTCCAGATTCCTGACTACCCACTGACAGAGCCCCCACCCACTTCTTAAAATAATTTTGTCTTTATTGCAAGTCGACCCAAGTTTTCCAAAGTATGCCAGTCTTCCAAATGTTTGACATGTACTCTCAGCCCTTCCATTAGATATTTTAGATTTAGAGGCTGATGGTTAAGGAACTGCAGTCAAAGCTGGAAGCCACATTCAAACCCAGGTCTGCCCGACCCCATGACAGCCTGCTGCCTGTGAGCTGCTTCCTACCCCCGACAAAGCTGACCTCCGCTGACCTCCATGTATGTTGGGTTTGAAAACATTCCATTTCTCTTTTTAGAATTAGTCAAACATTTCTTTCTTACAGTATTATATACCAGATGTTTCACTACCAAAACATCAAATACTTCTTAACTTGTGCTCACCTATATAAGGAGCCACATCAAGGTCGTAGATGAGGTGAATCAAATGATTTACATGGTTACCAGCAAGAATTTTTTTCAGTTCCACCCAAATTCTCTCTCCTGATATTCCAGCCAAGCCTTTTGCATTTGCTGCAATTGCTTCCAGAGTCTCAGGATCGTGGTCACCAGGTTTGTCTACAATTCTCCCATAAAACCTACAACACAAAATTCTCAGGGTGTATCTCCTCTGTGTTGGCAAATACCAGAAAAATTAGTTTTTCATTTTGCCAGTACTGTGCCACATGTCAATTTAATCAGAAACAACAGAGATTTAGTTAAAAAGTTAAGGAGGGATCTTGGGACCTCAGACATCCCCTGGTCACCTTTCCCCCTTCTCTTTTCTTCCCAGGTAAGAAACCTGAGATCCTATAAAGTCTAAATGGCCCCCTGAACGTTAAAACTAGAATCCTCTCTCTCCTCCCTTGGACTCCAAACCCCTGACTGAGACTCTCAGAATGGCCACCAAATGCAGCTCCTGCACGGGCACTTACAGTGGATGCACAGGGCAGGGCAGCCTGTAAGGGCACCCGAGCGGGACGGGGCAGCCTGAATCCTTCAAAGCTTGCCTGTCTGTACACATCAGTACTTAGAAAGCAAAGTTTTGAATCTGTTCAATCTACTTGCATACACTGAAATGTATTTCCTGGAATATCAGAATTTGAAGCCTTAAAGTACACCCATTCCGCTACTACTGTCACTAAAATACAATTCATTAGTGATCTAATGGCTACCTGGCTAAGTCTGTCTTTGTTCTGTTATTTACAAACACTGCAAATACTCAAGTTTAAAGAAACAACACATATTGACAAAAACCTGTCAGCTGTTACAGAATATTCTGAGTAATCCCAACCACTGAAAAATTAGTATTAGCAGACATAAACTGGCCAGTTAGAATAGTATAGCTTTTTTAAAAAGGTTCAAGCTTAGAATTTAAAAATCATTGCTACCCGCCAAACCATTCAACCCCACTTCATACTCCCCGCGTCCACCTCAGAGATTCCCCATGACAGCTGTGACTGAGCCACATGAAGGCAAACCCCTCCACCCGCTTTGTGTTCAAAGTGTGAGCATGGAGGTCACCTGTGGTAAACACTCAAATATTTGTGTAATGTATGAGCAGTGTAGGGATTCAATCAAAAGGAATAATGGATGTTTTAAAAAAAATGATTCAAAGCTGAACTATATAAAAGATGATCACAAAATGGAGTAGAGATAATGTATGTGTTGGTGAATGAAAATACAAAGTAACAGCTTACTTTTTAACCCCAGCTTGCTAACTCCCCAGCAGCAGAAACCTGGGAAAGTCACCACTCTGTGCACTGACCTGCTGTGCAATTCATATCATCAGGTGTGTGGGCTCGTCAAATATTACCAACTGTATCACACAAGTAATTTTTAAAAGTTCTTACCTGAAGTATCTTAAAATTCTAAGAAAATCTTCTTGTATCCTCTGTTTAGCATGTCCAACAAATCTCACTCTCTTATTTTTTAAATCTTCATAACCATTAAAGTAGTCATATAAGGTACCATCAAAGCCTATTTATTAGAAAAGGGAGAAAAATTACTATTAGCAAATAAGAATTGCAAAACACAAGAATACCAGCTAAAACCGTCACGAACAGTAAAAATTAAGCGAAGTGCATTTATCTGTACCTACTACCGAGTGAAGACAACAGTGGGGTATGAGGGAGCATTTACAGAAGCAACTACAAAGAGAACAATCCAGTAATAAAGAAATGTGCCAGTATGAAGTGGGCCAGGGGCAGGACAGCAATGCCAATTTAAAAAATTAACAATAAAACAGCAAAAAAATAATCCTAGAATGGAATTTCTAAACCTAACTACTGAGAAAACAAAATATAAATGCACACACAACTGGAGTCTTCAAAAAATTAATATATTTAACTACAAAAAATCAGATATGCCCGCATGGCAGAGCATAAGATGACATACTGAGAAAAACATGTATGTCAGTCAGTATTGGAACTAAATGGCTTATTTACTTAATATACAAAAACTTATAAAAAGACCACATAGGATATATTAAAAACTTTAAAGATATATAACCTTAGTAATACAAAATGCAAATTTATGTGACAGCATTTTTTAGATCTCTGAATGGCAAAGATCCAACTATGATCGCACTGTTTGCAGGGGCAGGCAAATCTGAGAGGGAGACTTCATTATGCAGCTTCTTAAACTCTGAATTTTGAACCATTTGAACCTAATATCCATTCAAAAAGTTTTAGAAATTTCCACAATATGTCTCCTCATATTGAATGAAAAGAAAAATACTGACAAAGCGATTTCAACGTATGGCACATAAAGTCTCAGGTATTAGTCGTAGAGTGACTGATTCAGCCCAATTATCCCAGGACTTTCTGGGTTTTAAAAATGTAAATTACACGTCTCTGGCCAACTGAAAAGGCCTGTCACCCTAGGGACTGAGAAGGAGAAAGAAAAACAGGGGCAAAGACCCAGGCACCACCCAGCCAGGGATCGGTGTCCCCAAGACACTTTGCCCTGCAGCACCCGCAGGAGGGAGGCCCCCCTCCCTGGCCCGTTTAGTTCTGCCCCAGTCCCAGATCACCCCAAAGGCTGCAGAACGGGGTAAGCTCAGGCTCAACACTTCCCAAGCTGGTTTGGTTTCTACGGCATTTTGATTCAAAACACAATTTTAAAAGATTCCAGATTGAGACAAAATGAAAAGGAAAAAAAGGGTAGACAGACAAAAATATGGTAACTTATAAATGTGATGTAGCTGTCTCTTGCCTTTTATAAATAACATCTTGAAAAAGAATACTGGTTTCTCTCATTAAGTATGCTTCTGAAAAGCTAGTTACAGGATTTTATATTGCACTGGAGTTTGATAGATATCAATATGATGTCTGATCAGAATGATAGAAGAAAAAATAAACCCCTGGAGTTTGAGCACGTAATGGGGAGAAAACAAAACATGCCACCGACAGGGGTCTGGTCAGCAATCATCAAAGCTCCGGAAACCCTCGGCTCAAATCACGGCTTTCTGTGACTTGAGCTGAATTACTTAACGTCTCTGATCTGTCAAATGGGTTTAATGCCTACTTCATGAAGTTTTTCTGAGAGCTAAATAGGAGAAAGTTTACCTCATTTCTGACCACAGATGTGCCTAGAAATTCCAGAAGTGTCATTAACATGATCAGCAAGGAACCCCCTCCACCATCCCCTGAAAACAATCCTGTTACAGGGTTTCTTCTGCTACATGAACGCTCACTTCACACCACTTTGCAAAAAAACCTCCATTAGTAGAGCTGGGTTTTTGCTAACCCAGAGGAATCTGAAGAGGATTCTCACTTTTACGAAATGGTAATTGTTTCTTCCCTTTGTACCATTTCGGCTTATAAAAGGTTTCATAGGAATGCTCTGCTTTTGAGTAGTGGGGGAAACCTGTACTTCATCCTTTCACTACTTCTATGAATAACAAAGAACTGGATGGCTTAATTTCTCTCTTTTCTGAAAAGTTTTAAAAGGGCTTGCTTAAAATTCGAAGTACAAAAAATAATGCTTCAGTTATGTACGAAGACACTGGCATAATTCACATCTACTCCCAACATGATTCTCACTGCAGAGGATTACTAAAATGTAATGTTGAAAGAACTTGAGGTTGTGTCTGGCTCAGCAATAGAGAAGATGCAGCGGTCAGTCCCTGTGTGCACCCTGGGTACCAGGTGGGGAGTATCGGGGCTGGAGGAGAGTTGCACGCATGTGGGGCAGTGTTGAGAAAAATGAGCAACATGGGGTGTGGATGATTCCATTTTTCTGACCTGAAATGTTAACATTTGTAGATGCAATTAGTAAGTTAACACTGTGACCAAGTGCCAGGCACTATTCTAAGGACTTAAAATTATGAACTCCTGTAATTCTCACAAACCCTACAAAGGAAGCTGATACTAACACCCCCATCGTGGCTGATACAGTCCAAACTTGGACCCAGGGATTTTGGCTCTAGAGTCATCTTTTAACGGACACACCACACTGTCTCTGGGAAGAAACTAATGAAACTCATGTTGGAGAACCTTTCCAGGATGCAGACTTCATAGGAAAAGAAAGTATTCAGATAGACTAAAAAACATTATTTTGTCACCACATATTACCTAAAAACATAGAATTTATAGTGAGATCTCTGCGTTCAGCATCCTTCTGCCAGTCAGTTGTGAACTCCACCTCAGCATGTCTCCCATCAGTGACGACATCGATCCGTAGTGTAGTAATTTCAAAATTCTCTTCATGAAGCTGCGATTAAATATATGTTTTTAAAAAATTAGTATTCAGTATCACTGGATGGACTGAAAAAAATATGTGAATCCTGACAGGTATAATCTTCTTTTTTAAAAGTCACCTAGTGCATACATAACCTGAATCAGAAAGACATCCATGACATTCAAAGGCAGATTCAAAGATCTTTCTTTGAAAATAAAATAAATCCATCATGACTTAAAGGCAGGACCATGAAATATAAAAGCAAGCACTGACATTCATGACGCAAAGGGTGGGACCCTAACAACAGAGTATTCTGTTTCTTCCATTTCAAATCGGGCTTCTCTGAAATTATTAAAAAGCTCCAGCTCTCAAAGAGCTGAATATTAATTTATAGACTATCTACCAATGAGCAAAGGATTAACAGAAGATGAATACAAACAACATATCTTGCAACTCCCTCACCAGCGATCCTCACTGAAGTCACAATGAAGCTCTAGCTGAATACTGGACAGATTACCTCCAGCGGGGGAAAGCTGAGGTGCTCCATGGCGGGGCGACCTGTGAGCTGAGCCCTGAAAAGGTAGGATCTGTACATTCAGACGTGGGAAGAACGTTTAAAATGTAAAGACCACAAGGCACAGCAGAGAGGAAGGGGGGGTCCATTAAGAGAAGTGCATGCCAGCACGAGGGTCAGGCGCACAGAGCATGGCGCGCCAGGCAGGAGCTGGGAATATCGTCTTTCGGAATAGAGAGCCGGCACTCGTCATCATCAGTCTGCGCTAGAATTCCTCTCAATGTCATGTTCTCCTCTAGAAACATACTGGTTCTCATTAACCAGTTCCAGAACTCAGGAACTGGGGCACAAGTTAACCTCTGAAGACAAGCAGTAAGAAAAGGGTTTGAAATATGAAGACAGTTTGACAAGCACTTTAAGAAACAATGAGAGGCCAGCCGGGTGGACAGCCACTGTGGTGGGGGGCAGGCGGGGCGATGCCCGGCGGGAATGTCTGCTGCCCCGACCTTGCGCTCCAGGGAGGAAAACCCCCTTGGCAGGGTCTGAAGGAAGGAAACAGCAAAGCTTTGAAATACTCATTTTTTTTTAATGTAAAAGATAAATGTTGGATACCAGGTCAAGATTCGGAGGAAGAAAAGCTTATTGATAACTATTTTATGTTGAAACAAAGATGAAAACAACAAAGGATTTCCTATGGTCATTAAGAGAAGCCAAAATAGGAAACACAAATTTCGCTACATTTGTTGAGTGGGACCGTTTTTTTTCACTCCTTGGAACACTAGAAAACATGGATGACTTCTGCTTTTGAATATTATAAAGTGAGTGATTCTCTTACTCTGAAGTTATTTTTGAAAGAAAAATTTAACCGAATTATGAGCTAAGCATGATAAATGTTTTGAGATTTGTTTTAAAGAAAAAAGAATCGAAAGACTGTCATTTTCAAACTTCACTCCTCAACCAAATGACATAATTTGTATATACCCTTTATGACTGTTGCGAAGGCCACTGATGGAACTTAAAATTGGTATCATGGAGCCTGGGGAGAAAAGTCTCTCAGGGAAGTTCAAGATAAAACTTTCTTTTATTCAGTCTGTCCTGTTCAGTTCTAAAATAAACTGCACTGGACTCTTTGGAAAAGAATAAACAAAAAACCATTAGCTCCCCAGACTGCCCCTCTCACCCAGAGAACCAGACTGACCGACCAGAAAGGCTGACGCACAAGTACTCAGAACTCGGGGCACCGACACAGTCAGTCAAGGGAGTGAAGCACCACAGTGAAAATTAAGAGTAAGTGACAAAGTGAACACTACCGCCATCCCTTTCCGCACGTGCTTTTCAAAATGCTAATAACCAGGCTTATTCTAACCTGCATGACCTGAGAGGGTTCCTCTGGTTTCTCCTAATGGAAAGGCCTACTGATGTTGACACTGGTGGTCCCACAACTAACTGGGTGGCACTCGCCTACGGTAAAGCTCTCAGGTCATTATACAAACATTAGGCGATCACCCAGGCTTAAGGAGCCAGCAAATCTCAGAGGAAAAAAAAGAAACTGTGGGAATAGTCAAAACTGATATTCTAAGGGAAGTAAATATTGCACCTGAAACAAAAACAGGAAGATTTCCAAAGAAATATTCTATGAAAGACCTGAAAATTTATTTAGATTTAGCCACAAGCAGGCCTGGCACCCACAGCTAGGCCCCAGGTTCTCCGGCCAAACATAAGCAAACTTTTCTCATGGAAAGTAGAGCAGGAGATGTGCGAAGAGAAAAAAGACAAGAACTAAAACTAGAAGATCAGGTCCAGTACCACAGGAGTTCCTGGACAGGACATTTCCCAGAGGGGTGGAATTACGAGAGCAGGGTGGGAGGGCCAATAAGGGCCCTAACACAGGGAGTAAAAGTGGATACAAACCTAGGCACAGCATCTTGACATTAAAAATACCACAGATAAAAAGACCAGAAAAGTTTCCAGAATGAAAAAAAGGAGGTCTCAAGGGAGAAATCTGAACCAGCTCAGATGCCTCAGAGGCAGCACTGGAAGGTGGAAAACAAAGCCTTTAGATTCTGGAGTGAAAATGATCCCCAGCTTCACGCTCCACAAACAACAAAACCATCAGACCAGTGTGACGGCAAAATAAAAGTATTTTCAGACATGTAAGACTTTCTCAGGTTCCAGAGTATTAAAATGAGGGCATAAACCAAGAAAGAATTCCACATGGGCTCCAGGAAACAGGCCTGAGACGAGGCAGCCAAGGGAAGTACCAGGGTGGGTGTGGGCAGTGGCCCCAGCCCGGAGGTGGCGGCTCACTGTGTCCCGGGCCCCCTGCAAGGGCCTGTGTGGCTGCAGCGCTCAGCACCGGGGTGGCCATGGCTAGGAGGGCTGGAACCTGCCCGGAAACCCAAACCACGCCACCCAGGGGAGGCCATCCCGATTCTCACATCCCACTCCAACCATCCTGCCATAGACGTTAGCCCGAAATTGTGGTCTGAGCACTGAGAAGAGGAGGGAAGGCAGGCCATGTGCTACCACCGACCGGGATCAGGGTGCCCAGAGGCTAAGCCAGCCTCCCTCACAGGGTGTCAACAGACAGCCTCTCAAACTGGGAAATTAACCACAAAAACACTGCAGCACAGAGAGGGTTTTTTTTAGCAATGAGGAGGTAACAAACAGGTAAGTACCATACAAATGAGTTGAAAATGGCTACCGCAGAGGAGGCAGGGCTTGAGGGGGTACAGGAGACATTTGTTACTGAGCTTTTTCTTTTTTTTTTTTAAGTAGAAAGAAAAAAATACACAGTTTTTAAATTACAAAGACGACAAAGCAGTCACCACCCAACGGCTAGCTCACCCTGGCGGTGACTGTCCCATGCTTCTCTCCTTTGTTGTTTATCATCCGGACGCCGAGGGACTGGAACAGCTCCTTCATCTGCGTCGGCGTTGCAGTGGTAGCAAAATCCACATCTTGAGGCTTTACTCCATTTAATAAATCCCTCACTGCGCCTCCTGCTATTCTTAATTCATGATTTTCTTTCCCAAATAATTCTGTGGGAAGAAAATATTTATTTCAGTGTTTCTTTTAACAATCACAAAAGCACAATGACAGAGGTTTGATTAGGGGCAGCGGTTATTTCACTGAGCTGCTCGTATGAAACCAGGGTCAGGGCCCATGGAGGTGTAGTGACTTGCCCACGGTGCAGTGCCTGGCAGAAGGGAGAAGGGGAACCTGCAGACTTCTTTGCTGACTGGGAAGACGATTCAGAATTCCACAACGCCTCAGGGTGGGCAACACAAATCCGATCGCCAGGGTAAGGCGAACAGCTCTGCTGTTCCCAGGTTCATGTGCGTGCTTAAGGATGTGATGTGACCGTGTGTTCTCCTGCATGAAACTATGAAACCGTCAAACAGCATGAGTCTCTCCCATTGCACACAACAAATAAATACTATAGCTAAGAATCCTTCAAGAAGTAACCTGTGGATGCTGTTTAACACCAACTCCTAGCTCTGCTCTACAGGCCACATGGACGCTCGAAGTACTGACATGGTCTCCATAGAGGAGACCCAGAGCTGATTCCCGGGGATTAGGACCAGGCAAAAAGTCCAGTCTCAAGACCCTTAAGACCCCAGGGACACCACCTCGAACCTAGAATGAATGACATCCAGGAACTGGCCTGATACAAACAGCTAAGCCTTGTGTTGCTATGACCAGACCCTGCGTTCTCCTGCTGAACGTGAGCAATGTCACTGAACGTCCACATCAGCAAGGCCGCTACGTAACCATGATGGATAAGGACAAGACAGACAACGTTTGATCATGGCTGAACACAGAGGAGACATGAACACCTTCCCAAACTCCACCCTATTAAGTTCAAGTGTGTGGATGCTCGTTATTTGCCACAGTGCATTTTAGCCTCCCACTGTGTTCCTACCTTCTTTGTAAAAATTATTAAAACACACAATCACAGATTTATCCCCAGTTTCTGACTCCACCTAATTCAAAGCAAAGGCCCATATCCTAAACCCACCGTAAAACTGTGTGATACAAGCCCACATCCTATAAGAAGTCCTTTCTAAAACCCTTCCACTGAGAGGTCCCCTCACTGCCCAACCAGGGGTGTTCCTGCAGGCCCATGGCTGTAGGGCCATGACCTAAGCACCCCTCTGTCCTCCCCCTGTACCTCCACTTCTGTTCTTGGCCATCCTCCTCACCTAGTCTACCCACACCTTCCAGCCCCACTCTGCAGGCTCCCCAGAATGATCTGAATCAACGCTCCCTCCCTCCACCTTAACTAAGCTCTCCCACGGGAGGCCATGTCCCTGAGCCTCTTCAAGGCCAAGGGTTCATGCTCCTTTACCTCTGCATTTCCAACCTAGCCCCACTGACTACGCATCCCTATTAAAGCACCTTTGATATGGGATCTGTGGACCCTTCAAAGAAAATGTAAAAATCCTGTGTGTCGGTTCACAATTTTCATGAGGTTTTACAGAGATCCAGGACTAGGCAGACGTATAAGAACTGCTAAGGCGTTCCTGGACTCCACCTCCCTTCCTCCCTAGTCCACGCCTCTTGGTCTCCCTCCTGGACTAAGAGCCCCACAAGAGCACCCTCATTTTTCTCCTGCCTCCAGTGCTGCCCTCACATCGAGCCTCCAGGTCTGGGCCTCGGCATCTCCACGCCCAGCTTGGTCATGCCATCTCTCCTCCCGCCCTCGCGCAGCACAGCCTCCTGGTATCTCTACACAATGACCGAGGGCCTTCATGATCCGCCTCAACCCTCCCCACCCTGCACCTCACTTTACAAGCACAAAACCCTCCCTGTGGTTTCCCTCTGTAACTCGGCTCACGTAGGTCACTTTTGCTAAACACCTTCCCAGCGCACTCATCTAGCTGAGCACTTGGCCATCAATGGGCCACACTAAGGATGACATTCTGCAGAGCAGTCACTCATAGCATATGTGGTAAACAGAAGTTGCCCCAAATAACCCTTACTCTTACTTCATACCTTGCAATCCAGCTCATTCTATTCTATCTTCTTTTCCTCTGTTTTTTCAATGCCAGTCTTGGCCACTAACTTGACTTCATGGCCCCTAATGGTGGGAGCCACTGATCTAGCTCATGCACACTCATATTTTGTGATTCGTGAGGAAGCCTCTCTGGATGGTGGAGGTAAGTTTCTCCTAAGCTGCTAGCATAGCCTATTGTCACGCATACTAATAAACTAAAATTGCTTCCTACTATCTTTGTCTCCCCACTTCTCAGGGCACAAACCTTTCTTACTCATCTTTACACCACCCTGGCTCACAAGGAAACAAACTGTGACATATTTATCATTTTGATTCACCCTATGGAAATGGATAACTATTTCCAAGAAACCTCACAATTCTAACATTTTGATAAAATTGAGGAAGGTATATAAAAGCCCTTGTGTGGGCCTGGGTGCAGTAACAGTCATTTAATACTCTAAGAAAGGCATGCTTTCATACTGACCTAAAACAGTACGGGTTATCAAGCTTAAACAGTCTTTTTTTCCTCAATCACTGACATCTTCCATTTACGGAAACAGTCCCCCATTCCGACAAATTTGGTAAAGAACACACTCAGTGAAATAACACCCAATGCAACTAAATTTCATTGTAAATTTAAGCCTAAGACTCAAAAAATACAGAATCTCACCATTTCAAACATGTTACTTTGCTTCAACTGCCACCTCTAAGCCACTGTTAACACGGTCATTAGCACTTCCAGATGCTGCAGCCTTAGTGTGTCAGAGAGCTTTTTACAACTGTCTCTTCTCTTTAATCTTCTGTCAAATTTTCAGTAACATTTCCCCTGTACAGTTTTGATTCCTGCGTGTTAAAGGTGTGGAGACAGAGGTGAATGGGAGGCACCAGCAGGAAGACCACCGCATGGCTATTACCACCAGAAAACACGGTCTGCTCTTCAGTGTTTCCAGGATCCCCCAACTTCAAGTGATCAGCTGTCCCTGTTGTTCCAAATATAACCGTGACGGCTTTACAACACCCTGTGCCTCAGCAGCCGAGAGCCAACACCCCGCGCCTCGGCAGCTGACAGCCAACACTTCAACTGCTGCTCAGCAGTGAGTGTGCACCACAGCGAAGTGCAAGAAGCCCCACCTCAACCTGCTGTGGGGCTTAGGCCCACATCACCACCCTGCAACTTCAGCATCACGTACAGTGGGGAGATCACCTCAGATGCCTCCCTAGCATTACATGGTTGTCCTCAAGCAAAAGGAAAGTAAATTACATGAAATAAACTGACCAGTGATAAAGCTCTATAGGAGCTGAATACAAAATACACTACCCTAACCTCCCAATTCTGACATACTGGAAACTAGCTTTACACGTGGTCAAACAGCTATTAAGATTCGAGAACTGGGATAGTATACAGTATTAACCCGCACGGCATTACCATACAACAGCCATGGTGTTTTTTGTTTGTATGATTTTGTGTGTTATTTTCATGCAAGACAATACACTCGATCCTTGAACAAAGTGGGGGGTTAAAGGCACCAAACACACCCACCATGCCACATACACACACACACACACACAGTTGAAACTCTGTGTATAACTTCTGCCTTCCCACACACACATACACACACACACAGTTGAAACTGTGTATAACTTCTGCCTCCCCCCCCCCACACAGTTGAAACTCTGTGTATAACTTCACACACACACACACACGAAACTCTGTGTATAACTTCTGCCTTCCCAAAAATGTAACTACTACTAACAGACCAAAGCATAGAAAAGCAGAAAAAAAATGGGAGGGTGGTAAGGTCCACCAGGGAAGAGCAAGCAGAAGGTGAATGAGCAGCTCGACAGGTCCCTGCGGGGTGACTCCTGCCTGTGGGTGAGCTGGGCTGGCGCTGGCAGAGGGGAACTTCCAAGGGGCAAAGGGTCCCTACCTGCTTCCTCTGAGTTGCCAGACCTGGACCCTGGATCCTCTCAGATCCTGCATTTCTCTGGTCCAAATAAGGCCCTAACTCCTAAGTTGCCCTGGTCTTGACTTCTCTTGTCACATATATGGGTGGTCTGTACGGGTGAGGAGGGATCAGAGGCTCTCACAGGACCAGTCCCAACTGTCCTTCCATCCCCTGCAGCCTCACCAAGTGTCCCATAAGTGGCACTGCAGCTCCAGATCCGTGACTCCCGGGCAGAGAGCCAGACGCCTGGACCCTGCAGCCAGAGTCAGGGTCACAGTGAGACTGCGGAAGCGCCCAGAGCAGCGAGAAGGTGCAAGTTTCAGGATCTCAAGATCTCCAGGAGGAGCTGGCCTGCCCACAGAGGCCTCCGGAGGGGAGAATCTGTAGCCCGTGCAGAAGCCTCTGGGTCCCCCAACCTCTGCACTGAGGTGGCTCCTTGGTCAGTACAGGGATCTGCCCGCAGCCGTCTCAGGTTGGCAGCAGCTTCGCGCTCACCCTGGGCCTCCTCGGCATACCTGGAAGGAAACCCTGCACGGGGACGTTCATCTGAGACTTCTCCAGTCGGTCTGAGTCTTCCCAGAAATTCACCATGCCAGCACCTGGGATTTCTCTTTTCCCTTTCTTTCTTTATAGAAAAACAGACATTTCTTAACCTTGGCTAAGAAAAACACCAGCTGACTTTTTAGTTGGATATGACTTTAAAATGTGCAAGAAAGGTTAGCTCAGCCGACTGGGGCACAGTGCCAGGAACACCAAGGTCACGGGGCAGGCCGCTCCATACATTTTTCCATTTCCATCTCTATCAACCATTTACCCATGCAATCTGCTGCGTTACATCCAATTACAGATACTGTATACTGAAAATAATCTGCTTGCAAGTGGACCTATGAAGTTCAAACTCATGTTGTTGAAGAGTCAGTTGTACTTCACCAGGACACCCATGAGTTTAGCGAGTAGCAAAGGTCAAATAAAAGCAATTATTTGATTTTTCTAATTGTTGAGAATTGTACTAAAGAATCCAATTTTACTACAGCCTAGAAAATATCAAAATCTTTCAAGTACAAGACTCTGAAGACAAACCCTCCCTCTGTCTCCCACACTATCTAGTTCCTAACTTCCCGAGGATTTCCCCTCATATCCAACTACAGTCAGCTGGTGCTCCACCTCTCCAGGTGGAGAAAATTCAGCTTTGGTATCAGGGCAAAGACGCCAAATGCAGTTGTTAAAATGAAAAATGTTCAAGAACTTGAGAATAATCAATAGGCAGACCTTTGTTTCCAAAATAAAAATGCAGAAACATCACACGACACAGAAATGTCACACATCACACAGGCCACCAGAGGTTAACAGCATACATACAATCCTTTGGTGCTTTTTTCCAGGAGGCCTCTTGCCACTGAAGATGGTGTGATAGGAGCCAGGAAAGGTATATAAAGAAAGCAGCAGCTTGTATTCAACTTCTGTGCTTCAGCATTAACAGAGTAGAGTTTTTATAAAAATTTATAGACACCCATTCTTGCCAGCAATGCCAGTTCAGTAGGTCAGGGGTGGGACCCCAGAGTCTGCATGTTTTAAAATGTGCACTGACCTTCCCAAGCCAGTTTAATGGACAGCCAGAGTTACAAACTACTATGCAAGTCATGTTTCTACATACACTCATCTCAATATATTTTTGAAGGTGCCACTAAAATACCGCAACTTTGAAATCCAGCTGTGTGGCTGCTTCAGCAAGAGCAGTAGCTGATACTGGACCGACAGAGGGAATGACAAAGCTGTTTTAAGATCAAACTACAGCCATCAGGCACTGAGCTAAAGCCACTTCCTGTGTTCCTGTGAGTTTTGCATGTGCATAAATGGAGGGTAACTCCTGCTTCCTTTTGCCTTCATTCCCTAGGAAAGCACTTACATCTAGGGAGAAAATACAGCTTAGTGGTTACAAGCTGGATTCTAAAAACACACCGCTCTAAACCCAGCTCTCCAGTTATTAAAAAACGACAGCCAGGCATTTCACATTTCTAAACCTCTCTTTCTTCATCCAAAAAATGAGACAATGTACCTGCTCATTAAATTAGCAGGCCTGGTCCTGCTGCGTCTGTGAAGTACAGAGAAGCCACACTGTCTAGTGTGGTCACTTCTTGCCCCTTCCTGTGATCTAGCTAGAGCTGGCATTACCTACAGACCTCTCCCCCATTAGTTCAACATCAACAAATGAGGAAAGGGGGCTAAAA